AGCTTAGGTTGTTTCTATTGAAAGGAAAATATCACTGAGTTTGGTTCTGAGCTTTCCTCTCTAGACATTAACTGGCATTCCACTTTAAATAAAATGTGTGAAGTTGCTCAGTCGTGTCCGACTCTTTGCGATCCCATAGTGTACTGATTTTTTCAAGTGGCTGAGAAAAGTTACTCCACTTATCTAATTCTGTATACAATTCTGATATGACATGACAAGAGGGATCTTTAAAAAATAGAAGTAAGTATGAAGTAGGGTCTTGGTTTGCTCTGATATAAATGAGCTGTGTGATTATGGAATTGATGCTTTCAAACTGTGGTGCTGGAGAAGACTCTTGAGGGTCCGTTGGACTGCAAGGAGATCAAACTAGTCAATACTAAAAGAAATCAATCCTGAATATTCATTAGAAGGACTGATGGTGAAGCTCTGATACTTTGGCCACCTGATGCGAAGAGCCGACTCATTAGAAAAGACCCTGATGCTGGGAAAGATTGAAGGCAGGAGGAGAAGGGGATGACAGTGGATGAGATGGTTGGATGGCATCACCCCCTCAATGGGCATGAGTTTGAGCAAGCTTCAGGAGATGGTGAAGGATAGGGAAGCCTGGTATGCTGCAGTCCATGGGTTTACAAAGAGTCAGACAAGACTGAACGAGTGAACACCACCACATTATGGAAGGCCACCTCTACTTTTTTTTACAGTCTTCTCCAGCTTCAAATCCAATGGCTCTGAGAATCTTTGAAATTCCTTTGTATTGGGACACACTAACATTTTGTACCATGATCTGAATGATTTTATTAGTTTTCAGGAAATATACTCTGATAGAATAATATATACAGAAATTAGAATAAATACTCTTTAGTAAGATTTTCAGTTATCAAAATCAGAGTATATGAAGTTAAAACTTTATATCATCAGAAAGAATAGTTGTTCATATACTGACACCATGAAAGTTTCTTTCCACTAAATTCTAGAAGCACTTTCTAAATCAAGCTGTTTCAGAGTATTGCATACAATTTATCTTTTGGACCACTTAATCATGATCTTTCACTTTCTGTCAGAGGATTGTAAGTATTTTGGAGCTTTCTGTGTAGCTTCAAAGGGTTTTGTAGCATCTGTATGAACATTTAAAGGGTAGTGCACATTCTTGAGTTTTATTGTATCTTATCTATTTCAAATTAAACAAATTAAATTGCCAATTTTTTTTTTTTGTCCAGAATATTCTTCTGTTCCATAGCCAGTTGGACAAAACTTTTCTATTAAGAACATTGTGCTTCCTCTCCTTTATGCTTAATGGATTTATGTAACTTTAAAACATATAATTAAAATCAATTATGTGCTAATATTACCTTATATTTTGCTACCAAGTGGGTTTGGATACTACATCAAATGCTGTGGCTTGGCATAAATACAGACTTGCTCATTTCTTACCTTCATCAGCTTCCACATCTGCCTCCCACAATCCAAGCTGCCTCCTTCCCAGGAGACAAATACACTCCCAATGTTCAGACGTGTTTTACTCTGCTTATTTATGCCCTCCAAAGCTGATTTGCAGAATCATACTTATACTAGTCATCTTTGTCTTCCTTCTCTGTTCTCAGTCTCCAGTTCCATTAAAAAAATTCTAGCACATGATTGTAATGCTGCTGCTGCTGCCGCTGCTAAGTCGTTTCAGTCGTGTCCGACTCTGTGCGACCCCATGGACTGCAGCCCAGCAGGCTCCTCCGTCCATGGGATTTTCCAGGCGAGAGCACTGGAGTGGGGTGCCATCGCCTTCTCTGATGATTGTAATAAGAAACAACAATGTGATTTTACAAAGTGTTTTTTTGCATTCTGTTTGTAGCACAACGGGAAATCACATTAACCTTAAAACTTTGAAATATCACAACCAATCAGAGGCCTTCCAAATGCAAGACTCAGCAGCTGTTTGCTACTTCAATATATATGATTTAGAGTTTTCATTTTAGCTTCTAAACAAACCTACCAAAATTTGGCACTGGTTACTGAAGGAGTAGATGTTGGCAAACTGTCCTTAGACAGCTACACAACTGGCTCCATGAGCTGTGGGGCACAGTTATAAATGTCACCTCTGGACCAAGGAGCAATGATGTTACTTTCAGAGAGACAAATTTCATTGTCCCTGACCCGAATTACTCTTCAGTTCAGTTCAGTCGCTCAGTCGTGTCGGCCTCTTTGCGACACAGACTCAGCATGGGCTCAGCCTCAGCATGCCAGGCTTCCCTGCACATCACCAGATCCTGGAGCTTGCTCAAACTCAAACCACCAAGCACAATTAAACTCTAATCTCGGTTCACTAGAACTTCAGAAATGTTTTTCAAATTTTGTTTCCTCTGCTGCCCTCTCGTGGTAGAGACAGATGGCTGCACTCGAGCACAGTGGTGGCCACGGCAGCCGCTGTAAAAGGGATTCTTTTCTTGCTGTTGCTTACTCACTAAGGTGTATCCGACTGTTGAGAGCCCATAGACTACAGCCCACCAGGTCCTCCGTCCATGGGATTTCCCAGGCAAGAATACTGCAGTGGGTTGCCATTTTCTTCTCCAGGATATTTTTGCGACCCAGGGATCAAACCTGTATCTCCTGCATTCCAGGCAGATTCTTTACCATTGAGACACCTGGGACGCCCAAAAGAATTCTTAGTATTTAGGTATTATGAAGCTAATTTAAACAAATGACCCCATCTTTCTTTACAGCAAAATGGTAGAGTCACATATTAGAAAATGAATTGCTGAAATGACATTAATGACATAGAGAATGTGAAGGAATTCAGAGTGGTGTAAATTCTTAAATGAATAAAATGCTTTCTTATGACATAATTATTTTTATTTGATAACTGGTGAATCATTGTTCATAATTTAAATCCAGTCTTATTTGACCCAAATGAAATAAGTTTTCCCATTTTATGGATGAGGTAAATGGAGATAGAGAAGCCCAGCACTTTGCTCAAGTTCCCTGCTAGTCTTGACTTCTGACACTGCACTCCAAAGCACTGAACACAGCAGCCAGGGCCTTGTAGACGTCAGGAGGCTCTCCTCCTTCCCTTGTCTGTGAATCACTGAAACATCTTGAGTTCTAAAAACAAGATGCCTATCTTACCTGCCTATCTCTTTCTACTTTCACTGCACCTACATATATAATGGTTCACTTTCAAGGCAGTGTTCTGCTTAGCAAAGTGACTTGTCTACTGTCACTTTGGACCTGAACTACTCAACAACCAACGACACTGATTTTATTAGCTACAGACTAGCTGCAAACTTGCCCAGGAATCTCCGGTGTTCACTTTCTCATTCTGGGAGTGGCAGAACACTGCTATAATCTGTCAATTTGTTTTCGATAGGGTATCGTTATGCAGGGTCAAAGTGGAACAAAGGAAAACACACTCTCTCATCATTCATACTGTCTTATAAAAGTCAATCTCTCTGGAATGAATTTCCCTTCCAAAAGATAGAGAGGTTGATCAAATTGTGGGAGTTAAGTGTTTAAACTATCCTGAGTCACAGACCCTTTGAAGAGCCATTCTGGGAAAAGTTATCTTGAGGAAATATCCAGAGACTGTGCAAACGTACCCACACAGGCTCACATACCTCAGAGACTGTGTACTGAGGTAGACTAAATGTTGGCCTTCTGAACGCGTTCACATTCTAAGCCCTAGAATTTTTGAATCATACTTTATACTTTGCATGGCAAAAGACACCGCAGATGTCAAGTTAAGGATCTTGAGACAGGGATATTATCCTGGAATATCCTGGTGGACTCACTGTAATCACAGGGGCTCTTGTAAGAGAAGGAACCAAAGTCAGAGAAAAGGCCGAGTGGCAATGAAAGAGGAGTGTCGTGAAGGGTCAGAGAAATTAGCCATAGTTTAAAGATGTCAAGGATCCTGAGCCAAGATGCAGGCAGCTTCTAGAAGCTGGAAAGGCCAGGAAATGGATTCTTCCCAGAACCTCTAGAAGGAACATAGTCCTGCTGACATCTTGATTGGAGCCACTGAGACCTGTGTCTGACCTGTGTTTGATAATAAGAAATATACACCGTTCTCACAAACTGTAAGATAATACACTTGCATTGTTTTAAGCTACTAAGCTCCTGGTAATTGGCTACAGTGGAGATAGGAAGCAAACACATATATCAGTACATTTCGGGAGTTTATGACCCCACAAGCCTGTCATGAGTGACATGCTTTGGATTAAGGCCTCTTCAAGGTTACTTTCTAGCATAAGCATTTATGCATTGATACTCTGCCCTAGGCAACTGCTGCTCTAGGAAAACAAATATATTTATGCTATAATATAAAAATATAAAATATTCTAAAGATGTTCTAAAGTGCTGAAAGAACAGCTGAATATACATTTTATGTTTCTATAGATGTTTCAATCCAAACAAATAAAAATATTTAAATTACGTTTGTCTTGTGTTTTGCCAGTTAATGACATCAACAGAACCATATGTTATACTCTATGACATATTATGGATATAATCCAGCATTTGAAATGAAGGAAAACAAATGCCGAAGGGAAAAAAATAATCCTGATCCATGTGATGTTTTATTATTTAAATTTCATAAATTAAAAATAGTTGGCTAGTAAGTTCACGCTTGCCATTCTTTCCCTTGGAGATAACTTGAATTTGAGAAAGAAGCTTTTGAGAAAGACTATAACATACAGTTCTATTGATGTCAAGCATCTTTACTCCATTAATGATTTAATGGATCCTAAGAGTACTATGAGAAAGGACTTTATTCTGCAGGGAAGATAAAGCAAAAACCATCCAAGTTATCACGGGCAGAGTTAGAATAATAAAATGGAGTAAGTATGCAGTTCTGTCCTGCCTGTGGTCAGCAAGCTCTGCGTTTTGCGCTCATCCTTGGAGATTTTCTGGGGCCCAACCGCTTGGGCCAGTTTCTTTATTTCTGTGCGCTCACAGACCCTCTTCCCCAAGCCTGGGGTGCCGGGGGTATTTCGACCAGAGGTGCCAGCTTCCAGCTACAGTGTCTGAGTTGGCCGTGACTGCGGCCCCTCTCCTGGTGCGCAGCACCGCGGCCGCTCAGGGTGGACCGCGCCAGATGCCCGCCTCTGACCGCAGTGGGTGAGGGTGGGCGCCTGGGTGGATGGGTGGGGCCGGCGGCAACAAGTACTCAGACGCCCTTCTCTCTGGCTGCTGACAGGGTGGTGACGCTGCGCTCTGCTGGGTGGGTCAGCTCCTTCCTTGCATGCAAAAGGGACCGTTGTCCTGGCTCCGCTGCAGTTTCCTGTCTGGTCCTCCCAGCTGGCGGCGTGTGGAGGGTGGCATGCATCCAACTCCAAAACAGATCCCAGGCGAGGGATGCAGTGATTATGATCCAAAGAAATCAAGCCATTTCTGGAAGATGGTAAATTTAACGTGACTGGAAAACAAATGATCATTTACACTTTTCTGCATATCCTGAGTAAGAATTGTATTTGTGGACATCATCTAGAGTACATTCTTCAAGAAAATTATTGGAAGCCAGTGTTCAGGAGCAGCACCATGATGATGGAGTTAATGAGTAATGATGTCACCTGCGAAATGGTATAGAATATTGCAGTGGCAAGAACTATATTGTTTCCATAGAAATTACAAAGAGCCAAGGTATTGACAATAGTAACAGCACTGCTATGTTTTAAAAAGTCATTGTAGGAGCTATGAAATTAGATGGAACCAGTTTATCTGACAATAAAGAACAGGAAGAGATGGGTGTTCAACCTGAGCAGGAAGGGATGGTGCATGGACACTGATTAAACAGTAAACTAATGTGTAAGTGTCTCTCTTTATTATTCTACATCAGTTAACCACTGGACCTTACATGAGCCCATACATTTTTAAAATACATCTTTTAATATCATTACTTACTGTATAGCCAAGGACCCCACAGAAATGTTTGCCCAGGACCTTGCACAAACTTAGGGGCATCCCTGGCTCAACCTTCACTATATTCTTTCGGGGAGCCAAAAACATAATCTGACTTAAATTTTAGCTTTCCACTTTAACCTCCAAGTTTGTTTTCCCTAAATACATTTAAAAAATCATGTTGCATTTCACTAACCCTATCTTCTCCCACACCTCTTTTGCTCCTTTATTTTCTCTCTTCCTTCTCCACTCAGTCCCTTTCAAATCCAAAGCAAAGTGCATGTACCCGTGAGTGCACATGTGCGTGTGGGACAGAGAGAAGAGGGAGGAAGTGTTAAGAGAAGGAGGAAAAAAGAGAACAAGTGATCAAAATGGTCCTTACTAGCTAGAGAAAAGGAACATGTACAGATGTAAATGTACGTCATTCTTATGTGCAAGGTAACGTTGGAAGTGCAGCCCACTTAAAACTCATGCTGTCCCTACTTCGTTGTTCTCCAGAACGGAGGCCCCCATCTTGTTATTTGGTTCAAAAACATTAGTGTCAAGGGTGTTAGGAATATAACAACTCCATCCACAGACACCACTCCTGTGGCCTTGACATCTTGGGTCAGAGATGTTAACCACTAACTTTGAAGTCTGATTTCACACAACTATCTTCAGTATATACATGATCTTGAGGAATTATAGATTCTTACACATAGAAAGCATCAGGAAGATAATTTTTGCCCAACAGCCCCATTTCACAGATGGAGAAGCTGAGACCCAGAGAGGATGGGTCTGATCCAAGCACATAAGGTAATTCAATTGTAAAGAAGGGCTATAGTTTTATAACTCCCTAGTCCAGTGCTTTTAGAACCATACCATGTTATCATTGCATAGGATTCACTCCTTCAGAGAATATATGTATTTTTTGAGTGCCTATTCTGTGTCAGGGACTACCCTATATCATAAAGTACAACAGTATCTAAAATCACTGACCCTAAGGAATTTACATTCTAATAGAATAAACATAACACATAGTGTAATTTTAAAGTGTCATGAGTAAAATAAAATAGGATAAAGGGAATCAATAGTGGCTGTAATTTTAAGTACAGTGGTTGAGGTAGCCTCATTGAAAAGTTACATGTGAAGAAGATGCCAAGGAGATGAGGGAGCTGACCATGTGGGCATGGGAGGAAGAGCATTCCAGATAGAGCAAATAGGAAGTCCCCTTTCAGGAGGACAGCCTGCCTTGCATATCTGAGGAACAGCAAGGAGGCTAGTGAGGCTGAAGCACAGAATAGGTGGCAGAGTAATAGGAGGTAAGGTCAGAGAAATTGCGAGGTGCAGGTGATGGTCAGGGAGTCACTTGTACTGTCAACACATGGGCCTTTAATCTGAGATGGGGAGGGAGCAGTCATGAGCAAAAGAGTAACATGACCTGATTTACATTGTAACAGGATCACTCTGGTCCCTTTATGTTGAGTCAGTCAGGAAGATTAGTTAGGCTGGAAGTGATTGGGAGATTCACTACCATTCAGAGGAACTCTCAGAATCAGAATTTCATATGGGTCTTTGCACTTATGAGGGTAATGAGTCTTTGAAACATCTGACTAAATGAAACATATGCCACATGAACTGTTTGAGAATTAAGATTAACCTTTAAATAGGGAATTCTCAATCCTGCACCTCTGAGAAAAGTGAGATGGCCTAAAAAACTCATAAGCACAGAAAAGCAAAAATAAACTTCAAAACACATTTTGAAGACTGCTAATTCCAAGAAGGGGACGACAGAGGATGAGATGGCTGGATGGCATCACCGACTCGATGGGCATGAGTTTGAGTAAGCTCCGGGAGTTTGTGATGGACAGGGAGGCCTGGTGTGCTGCGATTCATGGGGTTGCAAAGAGTCAGAAACGACTGACCGACTGAACTGACTGAATATTAGGAAGTAGCAACTGTGACTTTGCATTATTTGCAGGAAAAAACACAAATGATACAATGAATCTCTCACGGACATTTTTCTTTACCAGTAAAGATTAACAGAGAAGAGAAAAAACAACTGCTTCAGAGGACTATATACATATTTCTATACATTTATAATTACTAACACTGATAACCTATTTGATAATTTGCAGTGTGCTTTCACATACATTGTTTCATGTTATTCGAATGATCTTAAAAGTTTATATAACCTGTAAAGGTTAGTGCTAAGGCTGGACTTCCCACTTCTGGCTTCAGATCCCATGATGCTTGGCTCCACTATATCGTTTACCTATCTGCAGAGCTTGAAACACACTTATCCTGTAACATCTTTAACTACCAATTAAAAATGAGACACCGAAAGAAAGCCAGTCTGTCTCATAAAAATCACCCACTTTCAGGTGGGTGTTCTGTGAAGTGTCTCTGTGTCAAAAGGAAATTAGAAATCAACCAAAAATGCTTAATGATGCCCAAATAGGTGACACAGATTTGGAAGTGAGTTCTCTTGCTTACATTAGCACTGGAAGTTATCTTTAGTATTAAAAATTAAAGAACCACTCTTGAGCATCCTGAAATATGAAGCTTTTACAGTAAATATACAACGGATTTGAAAATAATGTTTTACTAAAATTTGTTAATAAAAAAGTAAAGCAGATAAAGGGGCACTCCATTTACAAGATTAAAACTTGTAACCAACCTTCTTTTCCTAATATAAAGCTTAAATTGGTTGCTTCACTGCACCTATTTTGACAACCTGTGTTTTGATTATCATTTAGGAAATTAACAAACTTTTTACTTGGCATTTTTCTTTGATCCATGGATTAAAGGTGCTATCAACTTCCTTGCCAAACTCATTCTGTCTTCCTCATTTGTCATTTTGGTCAAAAGAACTTCATCTTTCCAGTTCCTGCCAAATATCACCCCTTACTCATCCTTTTCTTACAACCCATATCAAATCCTGACACCTTCAAAATATATCCAGAATCTGTTTGGTCCTATAGCTTTGGTCCAAATCATCATTGTCTTTGTTTAGATTATTGCTATGGCCTAACTGATCTCCACACTTTCAGACTTTGTCCCTCTTCCACCTAAATCCTCCAATGGTCCTAAATGATCCACAAACTCCCACACCAGCTCACCATGCATCAGCCACACTGGCTTCCAAAATAACAAGCAGGCTCTCACCTTAGGATCTTAGCACTGGGGCTCCCCTTTGCACAGAACCTTCTTCTCCAGTAACCAACCACTGATTTCCGTAAACCGAGGATATCCAGAAGTAGCACCTTGTATTTGCAAAGTTACTTCATGTATTTCCTGTGATTCTTACCATCCTCAGGAGAGTTCCCATTTTTTTCTTGAAAATTTAAAACAATACCCTAATCAACTCTTAATGCCAAAGACATGGAATCAATACCAAAGCGAATATGTCCGTTTTCACATCTCCTTATGCTAAATAGTGTGTGTGTCAGTCGCTCAGTCACGTCCGACTCTTTCCTACCCCATGGACTCTCGTCCGCCAGGCTCCTCTGTCCATGGAATTCTCCAGGCAAGAATACTGGAGTGGGTTGCCAAGTAGGCAATAAGTCCAAACAAAATATCAAGATACCTTCTGGTCCATAGGACATCATCATTTTAACAAGAGAAAACTTCAGAGCCTTTATCTCTAAGCTTTAATACAAAAACAAAAAGAAAAATACAGACGAATACGAAAAAAATTTTAATATTCTTGTATTTTTCTGCATTAAAAAACTAAAAATCTTCCTTTATTATACACATAAATGGATCTTTAGCTTTCATTTCATAAAAGTACCATCTTTGGCCATTTTCTTAGTTTGTGCCATTACAGTTTTTTTGAAAACTCTCTTTGTAACTGCTGTGATGAACTGGAAGATAAGAGATGTATATGTATTAAGTACTATTACTTCTTCAGTTTCATTCTTCCAAATCAGAGGTTCTGAGTATTTTTCGGAGACAATACTTACCAAAACTGTTACCGAAACTTACACCCAGTTCAGAAATACGCGATCTCAGAATATTTAGATCTACATCGTGCCGCGTTCATTTTACAAATTCAAAAGATCTCAGGACTTTCACTTGCTTTCTCCCGCAGGTCCACTGACTCGTTACTCGGAAGTTGGGCTGAGCTTCCTGGGCCCGCCTGATGTATTACGAGAGCTGTTCCTCTGCCCACTGGATTCTACAGTCTTGTGGGATGCCGAGAACTTGGAGGTTCCAGAAACGTAGAAATCACCTGGGACACGCCATTAGTCAGCACTAGGATGTGGGCATCCGCTCTCTGGACGCTTCCACAGGGTTGCAACCCGGAGACCCGCAGCGACTGAGTGCAGGGAAGCCCCAGCATCCCGCCTCCAGCTAGACAGTCCCTCCCGGGTACCCGAGGCTGGCCTTAAGACCAGACTAGTAGAGCGAGGATGCGGCGCTCAGGGCCTTCTCAGGTTCTGGCTCTGCAAAGTCCAGTAACCAGTCCTTAGGTGTCTGTGGCAAATGCCAGACCAGGTGTCTTCCCCGATCCCAGCAAGTCCCGAGAGGGCGTGGGACAGGCAGCCCAACGGCCAGGCCCGACGAGTCGAACGCGGAACTAGGGAGCAGGCGGAGGCCGGCGCGGGGTTGTTGCTCAGCAGGCCCAGCCTGGCTGTGGGCCCCAGGCCTCTCCGCCTGGGACTCTGCGCCTGCGCCCGCCCGGCGGCTGCCTGCTCTCCCAGCGTGGCCGCGGTCCAGGCTGCAGCACGCCGCCTGGGTGTCTGGGCGATCCATGGGCTGCAGCGAGGGGCGCGATGACAGATTACGGCGAGGAGCAGCGCAACGAGCTGGAGGCTCTGGAGTCCATCTACCCTGACTCCTTCACAGGTGACTTCCGCGGCCGCAGGCCCGCAGCTACCCGGGGTGGAGTGGGACGGGCCGCCGCCTCCACGGCCCTCGAAATCCCCGGCCAGGATGGAGAAGGGAACAGCCAGGCCGCGTGGCCACCTCGCTCGCCACTCTCTCCTGTAGCTCTTCTCCTGAAGTGATCAGGCGTTTACTAGTGACTCTACGGCTGGTTTCTCTTCTCCGCTAATTCCTTGAAATCTGAAAGTCCGGGCGAGGCTCGCAAGGTCCCTGGAGTGTCAGGCCTGGAATTCAGTCGGGTGCACTTTGGTTTCTGTGTCGCTGCAGTCCATGGGGTCGCAAATAGTCGGACACGACCGAGCGACTGAACGGATCTGAAACTAACAGCAGCGTGAGGTTTAGTGAAACACACGAATGAAGGTACTCCAAGTGGGAGTAGTCTTTCCAGAGCCGCAGAAGTGTCAGTTTTCACATTTTCACCATCATTCAGGCTCTTTTCTCATATTTGGTGTTTTAAAGTTTGTGGATTCAAAATTCTTAAAGTTACCCAGGATCAGTTTTGAGAGTTGTCTTGTCCCCGAAGTTTGTCGTTTTTCTCTTCTCTTCTATTTTTTAATGTTCTGAGATTCTGCAGATTGCCCAATGAATGAGTTGGCTCAAATTCCAGGTCCACTGTAAGATCACAGGTAGGTAGACTTGTAGTAGGATATTAAACGTCATGGACGGAGGAGCCTGGAAGGCTGCAGTCCATGGGGTCGCTGAGGGTCCCACAGGACTGAGCGACTTCACTTTCACTTTCATGCATTGGAGAAGGAAATGGCAACCCACTCCTGTGTTCTTGCCTGGAGAATCCCAGGGACGGGGGAGCCTGGTGGGCTGCCGTCTATGGGGTCGCACAGAGTCGGACACGACTGAAGTGACTTAGCAGCCTGGCTTCCTCTTGCCAGAGGCAAGGTAGTGGAGGCTCAGGAAAGGCAAGCGGTTGGCTCTGGGTTGGCCAGCAAGTTAGTAGCAGGACTGGTAATAAGAGTCAGGTTTTGAGAGGTGATCTAATAAAGCCAATATGAGCGTGTATAGCCTAGGTTTGTGGGACTTACCTTCCTTATCCCGTCCTTCACTGACTCAGAATTCAGAGTGTAAGGTCATGTTATTTTAACTCATAAACTCCAGCCCCTCTCCCTTGTCATTGTTTAGCTTAGTTTTCTTAGCTCTACCCTTTGATCACTGCTTGCAATGGTAGCAAATTTTGTTCTGCTTTGCCAACAGGCCTTTGTCTCTCAGCTCTCCCTGTATACTTCCAGTCCTGTTCATGTTCTCTCTTCAGCAGTACAGCTGTGCTGTGAGGATGTTAAGGGGATGAGTACGAGGGGTTTGAGAGTGTCATTAACTGGGTGAGTGTGTATGGAGTCTGGCTCCCTTCTCTATCCTTGCTTATGTATCAATGTCTAAATAAAACAGAATATAGGGTCAGTTGTTGGATAGACTCTGAATCGTGACGTTTGGTCATTTCTGATACATTGGAAATGGGACAGGCATGAACACAGCATAGGCAGACTTAAGAAAGCACAAGATGTGCTCTTCTCATTTCTTTGGACATTGAGGTATACTCATTAAATATTGTGCTTATAAACATTTGTAAAAGTGATACATTTTAACCCTAAAATAATTGGATGGTTCTTTCACATAGTACTAGGCTCTGATATAGTTGGGTAGGTGAAATTCTTGTCAGATGCAAAAGTGCTTGAGAATTCTGAGTCAAGTTAATAAAAGAAAATTTGTGGATCTTGGATGCCTCAAGTACTCTGCAGTATTAGCTGAGCCCTTCTGTCTCTTAATGCCTAGCAGCACCCCTACAGTTGCATTAGATAAGTTAAAATGAGCTGTCCTGATTTATAGTTACTTAGGAACTTTGGTCAACTTCTGTATGAAATCTCAAGGCAAAGGCAAGTGGACTTTGGAGTCATTTATTTCTGTGTTTGGTCTTTTGGAATCTTTTGAGGATTTGCAAGGTATACTGTTTTTTATAGCTTTCTTATGTGTTGATGATTTCATACTTTAGTATTTTCATACCTGGTTTAAGAGAGAGAGCTTGTTTGTAATAGTTTGCCAAGGAACAGTAATTGGTACTTTTCAAATCTCATGTTGAATTTCATTGAATATTAGATTTGGTAAATGCTCAATGCTGTTGATGAAATAAGTGTGTGTGTGTGTGTGTGTGTGTGTGTGTGTATATATATATATGTATATAATTTTTAAAATAAATGATAGAGTGCATCATGGCCCTCTTGTGGAGGCTGAAGAGGCACCATTCATCCAGCTGTAGTCCTAGGCACATAGACCTAACCTGACTTGAGAACTGATTTCCTGGCTACTTGCAGAGAACTTTTGGCCCAATGTTGCCTCTGTCGTGAATTATAACAGATCATAATACAGTTTCTTCTTTGTGTCCACTCTGTAACTTGATTGCACACTAATCTAGTCGTCCTAACAACTAGTCTTCTAAAATATACATGGACACTCCTGATAGCACTTTCTCTTTCAGTTGTGCTTCACTTGACAAGATCCTGCTAAGATAGTTGAATTTGGTTATTTCCATTTCTGTATCAAAGTCTTTGGCTATATATGGGGAGTTTTGTTGGATCAAATTGGTTAGCTTCAGGCTAAACAAGTCAGGTTCCCTTAATTCTGTTTGATCTTACAAAGAGGAGTATGTAATCCTCTATTTGCTTATGTTAGTACCTCTGAGTTAACAGCCATGAGCTAACAGTTGTAATTGCATTTAGACACCGGGCAGAAGTCATCTTGTGAAAGCAGTTTTTCTAGGACAGTTGTTCTCTAAGACCCATAGGGACTTCCTTTAAAATGGGCTGATCTGGTTTTTTGTGTGAAAACCTGTCATTTGTGCATCCCTTTAGTGTACCTTTCAGCTACTACCTCCATTTTCTCTGCTCTTGACACAATTCTTAGTTTTGTCTAGTTTACCGTCATCTGCCCCTGTATCACCTAACACTTCTCCTGCCCCTCCACTGGTTCCTTGCACAGTGCCCAACAACTTTATTCTCTCTTTCAAAAGGATTTTGATCCACTCACAGTGCTGGATATCTGGTCTCTTTGTTGTTGTTTTTCAGTTGCTAAGTCATGTCTGACTCTTTGTGACCCCATGGACTGCAGCGCAGCAGGCCTCCCTGTCCCTTGCTATCTCCCGGAGTTTGCCCAAATTCAAGTCCATTGCATCAGTGATGCCATTCAACCATCTCATCCTCTGTCACCCTCTTCTCCTTCTGCCCTCAATCTTTCCCAGCCTCAGGGTCTTTTCCAGTTGGTCAGCTCTTCACTTCAGGTGACCCCTGTATCGGAACTTCAGCTTCAACATCAGTCCTTCCAATGAATATTTGGGGTTGATTTCCTTTATGATGGATGGACTGGTCTCTTTAGTGAAAGCTAATCCTCAACTTGCCTCAGCTCACAGTACAGTAGTAATGGATTAGAATAGGATTATCACTTCATGAGAACTCAGGAATAATTCATCTTCGCAAGTCCAGTTAAGTAAGTTTCCCTATTTTAGTAACCTCCAAGCTTTGGAATATTATCCCTTTTCATTTTCTGTTTTTTTTTTTTTTAAATTAAGTTTAGCTATGACAGAAAACCCCAAATAGCTGGTTTTTAAAAGGTAAAAGTTTATTGCTCTTGCACATAAATGAGACTTGTGTAGCTCTAGTTCAAGATTTCTTCAGGGACCCAGTCTTCTTCCTAGTTCTCTGTCATCCCTAAGATGTAGTCTCACCCTCATGGTGAGGATGGCAGCATTCCTTTTCCAGGCAGTAAGATAGATAAAGGAATGAAGTTGGGGTGGGGGGAGGTGGGGGGGGGGGAGAAGTAAAAGACAGCAGTTCCTTAAGGAAATTTCCTCAAAAACTATCAAAGGACTTACTTCCTTCTATCCCATTGGCTGTAACTCAGTCATTTGGTGAGACCTAACTGGAAGGAGGCTGGGAATGACAGTTTTTAATCTGGATGGGCAGTACACTCAGTTGAAAATGGTATAACTGGAAGAAGGGGAGAGTGGCTATTGCAGAAATTAGCATTGTTATCCAAAATCTTTGTTCCTGATTCACCATTTTTTCTTTGTAATGGCAATTTGGTGCAGTGGGTATAAGCTCTCTGTCCTTGGACAAATCATATAACCTCTCTAAGCGTTAGCTTCCTTATCTGTTTAATAAGGAATAATGTAAGTGTGGAAGAGTTAGTTGCTCAGTCATGTCTGACTCTTGGCAGCCCCATGGACTGTATCCCACCAGGCTCCTCTGTCCGTGGAGTTCTCCGGGCAAAACTACTGGAGTGGGTAGCTCTTCTCTTCTCCAGGGGAGCTTCCACCAAGGGGCTTCCCAGATGGCGCAGTGGTAAAGAATCCACCTGCCAGTGTAGGAGATGAAGGAGACTCAGGTTTATTCCCTGGATCGGAAAGATCCCTTGGAGGAGGAAATGGAAACCCACTCCAGTATTCTCTCGTGGAGGATTCATAGACAGGAGCCTGGTGGGCTACAGTCCGCAGGGTCGAAAAGCATTGGACACAGCTGAGCATGGGCACTAATATGAGTGTGGATAGTTTATAACTGTTAAACAAATACAAGATACTGTTTCCTGGAAATTTGCCATCTTAGTTGCTGCTGCTTCTGATACTTCTTCATAACTCCTGTCTTTATCAACAAACAGTTTTGATTTCTATTTCCTCCAACTGCATGGGGCGATAGTCACAGCTTGGAAATGCCATCTTTAAAAGTTTCACCTCTGAAATTCCTCTTTCCATCCATAAACTTTGTAGCCCTTAAGTTCTTTCGTTTTCAGGCCTTTACTGAACATGGCTCTCATCACAAATTTTCATGGATTGGTAGTTTATCAGCTTTTATCTTATTCATCATGGTCAGGCAGTTCAGTGATGTTCTTGCTAGCATTCCCCTGTCCTCATTTACCAAATGGTTTCCTCACTTGCCAGATGTTTACTGTATGTACTGTTAGGAGCTCAGTCTCTTGGGCAAAGACATCAGATAAGTAATTTACAACAGAAGGGATGATTCTTTCATGGAGGTATATATAGAATGCAGCGGGAACTGAGGGAGAGGCGTCTGAGTTGTTTTGGAGAGCTGGGGGGTGATGTGGAGTTACATAAACGAGATTCTGGGAGGCGGCACATGTGAGAGCCATGTGTGCAAAGGACAGGTAGTTCGGTACAGCTAGAATGTAAAGTGAGAGACACAGAAAATGAGGCCTGACACGTGTGCAGGGGCCAGATCACTAAGTGCCTTGACAGGGCTTTAGGTGTGACCTTACAGGCTCCTTCTCTGGTACCCTCACCCATAGCTCCTCAGACACGTGGCGCACTGGAGGTCCTGCCTTAGACCTGCATCTCTGGGTACTTGGGCTTCTCTTGAGGGTTGACCTGTCATGACTGCTTTTCTTTCAATCTCTGGAACTATTTCCTCCTCTTGCTTTTGTTCCCCAAGTTTAGGACTCCTTACACAGCTGATCCTGGCCCTTCTTTCTCTCTCTGCGTTCTCTCTGGTGATTTCATTTAGTCAAATGGCTTTCCCTGTTACCTCTCTGTGGATGATCCCAAATTAAATTCCAGCCCAACTTTGTTCAGTGTCATTTGCCCATTTCTGATTGCATACTTGATATTTTCAGCTGAAAGTACCCTGTGTCCTTCAAATATGTCTGGTCTTTCATTTCTAGTCCTTGTTTTTGTTCATGGTCCTGCCTGCAAATTCAGGTTGTCACCCATCACCATCTTCAGTTTCTTCCTGTTCCCTGTTTCCATTGTTACCAGCCTAGTTCAGAACCTCATTGACTTTGCTGGGACAGTTTCAGTGGCTCTCTGGTTTCATCCTGCCTCTCTTGTTTTTCTCCTTCTGTTTTATGTACTGTTGCTGGATTTAACTGTTGCTGGATTTAACTTCTGTGTTTAGAAATAGAATTCTGACCTTATTACTACCACTAAAAAAAGCTATCACTATCCACACTAAACTTTTAGCTGTTTATTTTCAACCTGTTTTATTCGCCACATACATCCACCAGTGGAATAATTTCTAATTCCTTGTATGTTCCTTAAGCTCTCTTACCATTATACCCTTGCTGCCACGTTACTCTAACCTGCATTCCTTTTCTCCATCTCTCCTTACAGAGTATGCCTTAATCCACCACCTAGCTCCAATGACTTCCCTGGAATTTCTCAGCTGGATTTATTTTATTTTTTCTTTTTAGATGAGATTCTATACAGTTTATTTAGTCCTGCCAGTTACTAGTTGTATAGCTTTGGGCACATTATTTAAAAGCTTTTTTATCCCTGTTTCCACATCTATAAAATTTGAATGATACTGTATTTAATTAATTCTAAGACATCTTAACATTTAAACATCTTTGAAGTCTGAATTTGTCTTACAGTTGACTACATATCATAGTTTAGTTGGCAGTTCCTTTTTTCTTTCTTAGTGGTGCATAAAGTAGGGTGCATCATATACTTGATGGCATCTTAAATTTGGTAAAATATGATGATAGTATAAAATCACCATTTTGGTGTGAGAAATAAAGGATTTTGTGTAAATGCATAGAAGAGCACAAGTGCAAAGTATTGCTCAGTAAATGTGAGCTGTTATTGGGTATAGGTTCCCCTAAATTACAGCCTCATTGATGCCTTATTTCTGTAGTTGCAATGTTTATATTTCATGACATGTAAGTGCTAAAGTTGGTTCTGAAAAAAATGGGAATGAAATACAGCTAATATATTTTACACACATTTGTTAGGAAAAAAAGGTAGGGCCAGTCGTATCATAAAAGCTTTACTACTATAATTGCCTTTTAGGGGCTTTTTCAACATAGGCTGGACAGCCTGAGACCTAATAAAATATTCATCCAGTAAGTCTTTTTTCTTTTCTGACAAACCCTCTCTACTAGTCATAGGTGTTCCTCATTGCTTCAGGTACTTCCAAACTTCAATTAGAATGAGGGCACATGTCTTGAAAATTTTATCAATAATGAATATTTATGACGACTTCAGAAGTTACTGAGTAGGAAAAGCTGAGTCCTTTTCATGGTGGCGTCTTCAGGGAGCCCCTTGTCAGAAAGAGCCTGCTAAGCTGTCACCAACCTTGATAGGGTAGGGGTTGGTGCTTCCCAGGCCTGGAGTGAAGTGCAGACTTTGGTGGGCTCAGCAGTAGTCAAGGGTGGCTTGAATTTTCCTTCTTTAGTTTTCTGATGGTTTCAAATATGAGTTTTATTTGTTATTGTCTTTCTCCTTTTATTGTTTAGATCTTTCATTGAGCCAGAATTTATTGAGTTTCTAGATACTGCCTGGCACTGATCCAACAGTTCTCAGAGTTCTTAGAGTATTCTTGTTGGGGACTAGATCATAAACAGATAAATAGTATCAGATAGACATCAGGCAGTAAAACAGCATATAAAGCTTTCTTGTTTGCATAAATGCTGATTGACATGCCTTGCTTAACAAATTGGAAGTAATTTGATATTTGAATTCATGGATAATTTTGTACTTCAGTGAAAGAACAAAGTTTTTAGAGACAATGTGGGAGAAAGAGATATCTAGAAGATACAAACTCTTACAAACTGGTACTTACTGATTGTCATAGAGATTCTGAATTGTGTTTCAAAATATGTAAGTATAAAACTTAGTGATAATACTGAGTATTTATGAGTGGGTAGGTTCTGATGAGAAACATCAAACTTGTTTTTTTTTTTGCCATTTCATTTGGAAATTTTTTAGAATGTGACTTTCCATGTGTGGGTGGAAATTTTGAATTAAAATATAAATTACTTAATTGATAAAACTCCAAGAGAATATCAGGTATTTTTTTCCCAGATTAAAGAAAACCCTAGATTTAAATAGAAATTGATGGATGTTTTATCATCTGAACTGTTACTATTAAGTCTGTATTTGTGGAAATGGGAATACAGGCTAGGGATCAGTTTCTAGAACTGGGAATTGGTATTTTGCTAATAAGGAAAAGCTTGTGCCTTATGTTAATAACTTAACCTCTGTGTATATTTTCTTGCAGTATTATCAGAAAATCCACCCAGCTTCACCATTACTGTGACATCTGAGGCTGGAGAAAATGATGAAAGTAAGTCTAGTCAAAAATACTTTTGGGTTTTCTACACTTCTCTCAGGAATTTTATTCATTCCACAGCCATTTAGCAGGCCATTGGATGTGTGGAGTTGCTAAGGTGCTGTTAAGAATTTAGTATGATTGTTAACATGTTTCTAACTAGTATTTCCCATATAATAGTGACTTCTGGAGAAACAGAGAGGAAGTCAAGGAGATTTTCTGGCAGAAAAAGCTTAATTTTTAAAAGTGAAACAGAAATGTTAACAATATACCAGGTAGAGAAAGGGGAGGAAATTTTTGTCAATAAGACTGCACACACATAATGTAGTGGTTGTGTGGTTTTCCATGGCATGCCAGTGACTTTTTTCCTCTTTGGATATTTAGATTGCTTACTAGACATTTGTTGTTATAAACTGGGCTGGATAAATACCTACCTGCATTTTCCCTCTGTCTTTTTAGATTGGATAGTGTACTGTTATTTAAATATGTGTATACATAAAGCCAGACAAAAAGCAATATTATATAACTGTCGAACTAAGACAAATATACAAATTGAAATAAGGGAGTTATAAAACTAATAAGATTAAATTAATTTGGCACATTTTGGGGGAGGCGTATCTTAAGTTTATTTCTGCTTTGGTCAAGTTCAATTAATATTGTAATTTGATAAAAATGTTATGTAAGTTGGCATTAACCCCAAGAATTTTTTTTTTCTCCTGTTAAGCTAGTCAACTAAAATTCTGTCATGAGTAGTCAGTTACACCCATTTTAGTGGTATCACTTGATAATTCTAAATCTGTCTTATAGAATTGAAAATGAGGTTAATACTGATATTACTGAAATCTGAAATAAAGAGATACTGGATACAGTTATTAACATATTTATATAGATGGATTTTATTTATATGTATAAAGTCAATTACACATGAAGAGCCTGTGACATTTTGTTTAAAAGACTATATGCATAGAGAGATACTTTAAAGTATCCTTTTAATAGTACTTTTAAGATACTTTAAAGATACCAAAATGGTAACAGTAATCTCTTTCTGAGGATGGAATCATTATTGATTTTTTTTTCCTTTAATATGTTGCTAAATTTTATGTAATGAATTTCTGTTACATCATATAGTGGAATCAATAAATTAAAAAAAAAAGAAAACTTGTGCTAGCAATAAAATTTAGAAACGTGTTAATTAAAAAAAGAAAGAAAAGTGCCAAAAGACACTCTATATTTCTTACCTTTCTATCTTATATCTGTTGATTCATAAAATTCTTTGTTGATACCATACACAAAAATACCAAGCGAGCAGATTTTGAGGTGTTTTTTTTTTTTTCCCATTCCCATGGAGAGAAATCTAGATCTTAGTTTAAATCATCAAAAGCAGGAGGTTTTAATAATTAAAATATGAGTTACAGGAAAGGCAAAATGGAGACAAAGGGTCATGTTGACAAATAGGTTTTAACAAAAAATATTTAGCACTACTGCTCAGTTTTAGATTGCCTGGCAGAATTGAGAATTCATCAGACTAGGTTGCAGAGAGATACTTTACACTTAGGTGCCTTTAAGAATGTCACGCCTATACCAATGTCATATCTGTGAGCTGGCACAGGCCAAAGACTTGGGGGGGAATGTGTCAGTGAGTCAGGTTACAAGTTTCTCAGACAGCCTCTCAAACTGTCCAGTCTACAGCCATGTCCTCTAGCAACGCCCTGGCAATGATCTGCTGGCATTGTGCCGATAGCAGTGTGGACTGTGCAGCCAAAGTCAGAGCTTCTGCGCTGGGCGCCGGCTCTGGGAGGGGCCTGGAAATGAGCCTGCGTTGGCACTCTTTCCGTGTGTCGTATTCAGTGCCTTTTGCTCATCTTAAGGAGGGTTTTAAAAGCAGTGTCTTCTCCATCCTCTCTCTCTGACATGCAGTAAGATAAAATACCCATAAGTAGCAAATGTATTTCCTGTGTTAGATGTGATCTTTGGTATTCCTGTGATTTGTTTTTACCTATACTTGTGGTACATGTTTTATATGTTAATGATTATATGTTAATTATTATAATGGTCTCATAGTAACCCTGTTTTCCTTTTGTAGGAGAATCTTTTGTGCTACTTTTCATTGACACAATGTAAATTAATTACTAATTCAACAAAGATTCTGACCTCTCTCTACATTTTAAGGTATTTGTATTAATATCTTCTCTTATGTCTTTAGCTGTCCAGACAACCCTCAAGTTTACATACAGTGAAAAATACCCAGATGAAGCTCCCCTTTATGAAATATTCGCCCAGTTAAATCTAGAAGATAATGATGTAGCAGACATTTTAAAATTATTAGCATTACAGGTAAGGAAATAACACGTTTTGTAATGGCATTATTTTATTGGCCTTAAATATTATATATTAATCTTGAGTCAGAAAATTAAATATATATAATGAGTGTACTGAACAAGCAGAATTCATGATGTATGTGTATACACACACACACACACACATATTCAGAAAGCATCTTTATTATTGTTCCCTCCTGTACCTTTAAAGGGAGAAGGAAATGGCAACCTACTCCAGTGTTCTTGTCTGGAGAATCCCAGGGATGGAGGAACCTGGTAGGCTGTCGTCTATGGGGTCGCACAGAGTTGGACATGAAGCGACTTAGCAGCAGCAGCAGCAGTACCTTTAAAATTTGAATAAGAGAAGTTCTCCCTATACCCTTGTTTGAAACTCAGCCCAGTGACTTTTAGGTGATAAAAAGCCCTGTGACTTTTAGGTGATAAAAAGTTCAATTAGGTACAGTAAGTTATAACACAATCATAATTTGGTTTTCAGAATGTCTAGTCCCATGCACACTTAAAAAATCCTAACTTAAAAAAAAGTAAAACTCCTAAGCCCTGTGATCTGTTGCAGTCTAGTTACCTGAAATTTGGTGAGAGGAGTGGTGATTGATTTTTTTTTTTCCTATCTCTCCTGCTCCCTAAACTTATGAATAGCAATCATGGTTTATGACCCTTCCAAGAGCAGGTGTTTACCTGGAAGAAAAAATGGGTATTGGAAAGTTCTTACCTGGCTAGTTCTCAAATGGTTCGGGCTAGTCACAGTCTAGGTGTGGTGGATATTTAAAGCTCTGTTTTACTTGGGTAGAGTTTTCATAGATTCTTCACAAGAGAGAGTAGGGAGGGCAAATAAAATCTTACTCCACCATCTTAAAAGCAGAAGTCCTAGTTTTGTTTGTTTTTCTAAGAAGAACTGACAGAAAATGTCTCCACTGTAAATATGACTAGTATATTTCAAGAACTGTGGGTGCTCTCACTGTTGACATTTTAAAAATATCTGGAGCTGTTAGAGAATGAGGAGTGAAAGAAGATATATCAAACATTAATTTATGCTGATTCTAGGTTCTGTTCACTTCATTACCCAGTGTGAAGTCATATTATTTCTGTATCATTTAGTTTAAAGTACTTCATTTGGAAACATTGTAGAAAGCCTGGAACAATACACTGTATTTAGTCACTCATGTATTTATATAAGTTTCTTGATTTGAGTCATTTTTGTTAATATGCATTTTATATTTTATTTATATTCAAAATCCTTTCTTTCAAAAATGAAGTTTTGATTTCTGATACTTACCTGAGATCAGAGGTACTAAGGGCATATTTGTATCTTTTTTCTTAGTTGTATTAGTTTTTAGTTATCAAAATAATTTATATTACAAACAAACTCAGAAAATACAGAAAACAATGAAGAAGAAAATAAAGATTATTCTTAATCTCATTAGTCAGGTATAACTGCTTATTGACACTTGGTGTCAATTCAGAAAACTTTTTCCTACAGCATTTAGCAGTATCTAGCATGTTATCATCATTTTAGTTCTTTGGGGATATTTTGAGAGCTGTGACACTAACCTGAATTTTGAAGGCAAAATGATTTTCTAACATAATAACAATGTAGACACTTTTCTGATTTATCTTTATGTATCTTTTTTCTTTCTTCTTGTAATGATTTAAAGCTAAAATGATGACTATATGCTGGAGAACTGTGTTAGCTACTGTAGAAAAAGGTTTTCTGAATTCTACCTACATATATGATTACTACATAGAATTTATTGAAATACCTATTTTCAGTTGAATATAACAAATTATAAGACTTTTAAAATTTAAGATGTTGTATATGGGCTTCCCTGGTGGATCAGCTGGTAAAGAATCTGCCTGCAATGTGGGAGACCTGGGTTGGGAAAATTCCCTGGGGAAAGAAAAGGCTACCCACTCCAGTATTCTTGCCTGGAAAATTCCACGGACTGTATAGTCCATGGGGTCACAAAGAGTCGGACACAACTGAGTGCCTTTCACTTCACTTCACTTTATATGTATACACACAAACACACACACACATCAGTTCAGTTCAATTGCTCAGTTGTGTCTGACTCTTCGCGACCCTATGGACTGCAGCACGCCAGGCTTCCCTGTTCATCAGCAACTCCCAGAGCTTGCTCAGACTCATGTCCATTGAGTTGGTCATGCCATCCAACCATCTCATCCTCTGTCGTAAATGATCCAAGAGTCTGAACTGATGATGTAACTGAATTAGTGATCATATTATAAATGCATGAGTGCAGTGATTATGCTAAAACACCTCCCCCCCACCACTGGTTAGTTGTTTTTATTTTTCTGAGAATTATGTTTCTAACTACAACCTCTTTTTTTCTTTTTTGGTTACATAGGCAGAAGAAAACCTTGGTATGGTGATGATCTTCACCTTAGTGACAGCTGTGCAAGAGAAATTAAATGAAATAGTAGATCAAATAAAAACTAGAAGAGAAGAAGAAAAGAAACAAAAAGAAAGAGAAGCGGAAGAAGCCGAGAAGGTACATTTAAAGTTGCCTTTTCTCTCATTATTCTTTAACTCTGCCATTTGGGGTGTTTTTGTTTTGGGAATTTCAGTAATTTGAGAGGAAATTGCAAAAATAAGCACAAGTGACATTTAATAAAGCTTTGCTAAGTAAAATTTTACAAGGTCCCTCATTTACTTGGTGGGCATCACACAATAATGATCAATCAGTTGGTTAAAGGTTAATAAAGTGCATGCAGGTAAAATCAAGAAATATAAATTATTTCACTTACAGTGTAAAGGTTAGAATTATAAAGCTCCTGCCAGAATAATTTAAATATTTACTGAATTTAAGAAAACCTTAGATTCTAAAATGAAGTAAAAAAGGTAAGCAGGGATGTTAGTGTTATAAATTGATGTATATTTAAACATATTAATGTTGACAATAGCAACTTTCTTCTTAATTGTGAATAACAATGGGAACACCTCACATATTATCCTTGGTTTTTTGTAATAATATAAAAACAGACTTTTCTAGAGTAAACTGCCAAAACCAATGAGACTAGCCAGTGCAGATAGAAATCAGACTAAATATTATGGACTTGAAACCATTATTCTCTTTGATTTCTCTCAGTGGCTATGTTCATTAGTCTAGAAGTTCATTAGGCTTTATTTTCTGTTGTTTCATTTATCTGGTGATGTGTTTTTTCTTTCCTAAGCAATTATTCCATGGTACTCCTGTTACAATTGAGAATTTCTTAAATTGGAAGGCCAAGTTTGATGCAGAACTCTTGGAAATTAAAAAGAAACGGATGAAGGAAGAAGAGCAAGCAGGAAAAAATAAATTAAGTGGTATGACACCACCTCCCACCCAATATCCTGTTCCCTTTAAGCCCTCCTATATTACTTCTTATATAGTAAGAGGATCGTTTGGATAGATATCTGTAAGAAAATAATATACTTAGGCATATAGGGCAAAAAGAGGGTGTTATCTCCATATGATGATGTTTCTTCACACGTAATTATCATTAATTTTTATGGCTTATCTTTCATCTATTGAAATGGATAGATCTTCAGATATAGCTGCCAAGACTTAGGATCACAAGACTTAAGAGTGGTGGAATCAAACCCATTTGTTTTTCTGGGACTAAGCTTTTATTTGTTCCATTTTAATGCCAGTACATTTCATATGCCTCTTAGCTACTTACTGAATTCATACAATATATTGAAATTCACAGAAAAATGGTTTTTCAGATTTTTTTTATATCTTTAACTTTTTAAAATTATTACACCTTTTAAAGGGTTGTAGGGAAGATGGAGAAAAACTATGCCATTCTAATTAAATATGTTTATTTCTCTTAGGGAGACAGCTATTTGAAACAGATCATAATCTTGACACATCTGATATCCAGTTCTTGGAAGATGGTAAGATAATACTAGAATTCCATATGTACATAATGTGCTATTTTCAATATTAAACCATGAAAATCATAGTGATAACTTAATGTAAATTTGTCCTCCCAAGGCTCTAAAGAAACACACTTTGAAGAATAAATTCTGATGTTTGATCAGGTTATACATTAAACTGTGGCAGTGTATTTTTGAAAAGTTTTGTGATAAGAAAAATCAAAGATAGCAATAGGTAAACAACATAGTCACTTTTACCTGTAACACTTGGTAAACCAGGTCACTGTGACTCAGATCACCTGTTTTCCTCAAAGTTACAGTATCACAAATCTACAGGAGCTGTAACCCATGGTCTGTCACGGAGCTTTATAAAGACTGCAAACCTGGAACTAACCGAAAGTCTTATATTTCACACCAGTCTTACTCTCTTTGGAACATCTAGTCCCTTGTGCTTTCCTTCTCTTTTTTATCCTAACCCTTATCCTCTTGCTGTCTTCATCTACTCATTTCCATCAATCCACAAATATTTACTGCACCCCTGCTCTCAGCTTGGCACTGTCCTGGGCACTGAGCCAGAGAACACTTCAGATAAGTCCCTTTCCCTCACGGAGCTTGAGGCCACTGAGTGTCTCTTAAATGTAGAGCTCCTTACTCAGACACCCTCTAGTAGCTCCCTGAGGTCTGTACTCCATCATCCTTCTGTCATGTCCATCGTGCCTGCTGGGATCTTCTAGCATCTGGCCTTTTGACTGTATTCCTGGGCTACCTTTTGGAGAAGGGAAGAAGGTTAAGTATCAAATGTCTTTTTAAAAGTTTTACTCTCTTTACTCATTTTTTACTCTTTTTCCTGTTTGGTGGATCAAGTGTCTCTTTATAGCCAAAAACTTATCAAAAGTGCTCTGTTGATTCTGCCTCTGAAATGTCTTTTCGACTCTTTCCTCGTGATTTGAAAATTTGTTATTTTTCAGCTGGACTTTAGTAGTAGCTTCATTGTTTCCCTTCCTCAGTCTCTTCCTCCTACTGCCCTTCCCAACCTTGTAGCTACCACCTCTGAGACAGAATTTCTAAAACCCATGTTTAATCATGCCATTTCTTCCCTTAAAATCCTCTGGTGGTTCTCTGCTGCTTAGAGGAAGGGGTTGACCTACTTTGGTCCTTCAATTTGGCCTTCATCTGTGTTATTTTTGGATGTTTTTCTTCATGAATCTTGTGTTCCAATTAAAAGGGTTCAAGGTCTTAATTTTTTTCTCTGCTTTTGCATAATGTTCTACCTAGAATTGCTTCCTTTTCTTCTGGGTAGTTTCAAATTTATCATGAAGATATTTCAGATGTCATCTGCTCTGTGAAGGCTCCACTGCTTCCTCTCCCAGGCCTAGTCAATGACCCTTTGGCCTGAGCATACCAAATTGTATTTTATTACTGAACTGCTCTTAGGCTTCATGAAGCAGGCTTTCTTCTCACTGAGTTGAATGTCAGTGGACTAGAGTCTGAGAGGGAAGGAAGGTGAACAACGTTTGGTGATTTAAGAGTACTGTAATATCCTACTTCTGTGTACTACAGACAGACTGAAGAATGAAGTTATTTCATGCAAAGCCTGGGTATTGCTTCCGGTAGGGCTTAGACATTTGGAATCTTGGAAAGGCATGGCACTGGTTACAGGGGAGCTGGATGAGAGCGAAGAGCAAAATAAATTTGTCAGCTGATTATGTGTATAGTTGAGCTTTAATGACGTACATACATATCTCCAGTATGGAAAGAGATGAACTCTTGGTACAAGTCTCCTGGTCAGTGATAATCAACTTTGTATCATGGTCGTCTCCAGCTTCCAACATGCCGGATCATAAATAATTCATTCTAAGAAGGCCTGTTTGGTAGTTGGATCTTTTTAGACTATGAACTGGAAGCCTGAAGATGTTCTCTGTTGACCAGTGCAGATCATCGCTGCTCTGATTTGCAGTACTAGTTCAGAATTTCGTCACGTGCGCTACAGATGCATGTGTAAGAAGTCTGTTTGGTCCTGCCAGTGGGTTGTATCTTTTATTTCTGAGTATAGGAATGCAGGGGAAATCTTCTGTCTTTTACAGCTGGAAACAATGTGGAGGTAGACGAGTCTTTGTTCCAGGAAATGGATGACTTGGAGCTGGAGGACGATGAAGATGATCCAGACTACAATCCTGCTGACCGGGAGAGTGACTTGACCGACTGATGGACTATTCCCGTCTGCAGAGAGGCTTGACTGCCACAGCATCTGTGGCTATGCTGAGAGGGTGTTGATTTTCCTTTCTTTTTTCTAAGAAAAAAATAATTTTCAGGAGAATATTCTTCTGATGGCTTTCATCATTGAACTTAATAAATTGATCTTAAAAATTTCAAATATTAAAATGTTCACTTCCTCTTATTGGTGGGAAGAAGGTCACAGGTTTATAAAGCCATTTAGTGTTGGAAAGAGATCCTGCCGAAAACACCCAGGCTGGAAGATGTGCCATTGCTCAACACAAGTGTGGGTTTATGTACAAGGAACTGGCGTAGGAATTTTTGTGTGGAGACAGTGGTGACTTTCAAACCCTAAGGGTTTTCATTCATATAAAATATTAGAAGACTCAGTGAGCAGGGCATTAAACCTGAATTCTAGCCTTCAGACATGATAAATTTAAGTCTTAAAACCAGAAGCTCATATAACAGGAGTAAAATGGACTTTAGTCCTATAATAGTACCTGAATCAGAATCATCTTTGGAGCTATGGAAAAGGGCGCTCCTAGAGCATTCTCAGTGAAGCTTAACGAACACTGAGCCTCAGTCTGAGCCTTATGAGAGATCTCATGCCAGAGATACAGTGATTGTGACGCACACTCCTGATGAAGACACGCTGTCCTACAGTTGTCAAGCCTATAAATTGTGACGTTTCCAACTTTTCTAGCTGACCAGTCTGAAGGGATCTGAATTCATGGGATTGTTCACTGCACACATTCACATTCATGCACACGAGACCTTCATGATAATACAGAATGACTGACTCGGGGGCTCTAGGTAGGAGAGCCAGGCTTCAGGCAAGTTATGCAGCCTCTGCAGTTTTGGAGTGTTGAATCTTAACCCCAACAGGAAAGCAGTTGTGCTGTTACAAATGGCTGGCTGTGTTCAAAAGTACAAGAACGTATACCCACAGAGCGGCAGTATCCATGTTTATTTTTAAAGTCAGGCTTTACGATTAAAGTTAAGACAAAACCATCATTGAAGAATTTAACACTTATCACCCACCTTGATCTTGAACAATAAAAAGAAATAGCAGTAATATTCAGTATTTCTATGCAAAGAGAAGTCCAAAAGTTTGTTATGTGAGATTTTGCTTTTCCTAAGGTGAAATCCTTTCTGTAGCTAATCAGTTGCCTAAGAACCTGAAAGAGTGGTTCGATTAAGGTTAAGAAAAGCAGTGGTGAGCCGTGTAGCATGAGGTCAATAAAAATTTGACCCTGAAGTGTAAAGAATGATTACACTTGCCCCTCATTTAAGTCTATGTTTTATACATTTTCTATAGGCTTCCCTGAGAGCTCAGTGGATCGCCTGCAATGCAGGAGACCTGGGTTTGATCCCTGGGTTGGGAAGATCCCCTGGAGAAGGGAAAGGCTGCCCACTCCAGTATTCTGACCTAGAGAGCTCCGTGGACTGTATAGTCCGTGGGGTTGCAAAGAGTTGGACATGACTGAGCAGCTTTCACTTGCACTCTTGTGCCATGCAGTCAAATGCGCCCTGACAGGTACCCTGGCTTGGGGGCCAGCGGCAGGCAGCGGAGGAGAAGCAAAGAGAAGAGAGCTTGCAGCAGGGTCTAGAACAAAAGAATGGGCCACAGGGACCCCACGACTGGCTGCCCACCCAGCCTCCACTCAGGGACCTCCACACATCTGCACAGGGCTGCCAGTCTTTTTCTCAAACATTCGGCGAGGGTGCATCTCCCAGAGTGGCCAGCAGTGCCCTGAGGATCACCCACAAGAACTAATACTTCCCCTTGAGCAGAAACAAGCTCATACACGTTGAGACACGCTGGTTACATGTGTAGCATGGAAGCAGATTTTTTTATGCTCTGCAGGGTGGATCCAACTGCAGCTCCTCCTTATCTTGCTCCAGATTGCCCTGCCCTTCGAGGCACCTCTGAAAGGTGTTCCCAGCATAGCGGGGTCTGTCACCAAGGCCTCTTTGGTAGCAAACTAGTTGCCAGGAACCTGGACTTAGCGCTTCCTAACTTCATTCTTTGGGTTCAGGCTGCCTGGTGCTCCGTGGACTTGCTTCTGCTGTTTCATGTGCTCATCTGTGTGGACCGCGATCTGCCTCCTGACACCACCTCTTGTATCTGGAAGCAGACCTCAGATGGCCTCGTGGTTGTCTTCCCGCCTGGGTAAACAGACACAGGCCAGATGGCTGTGATCCTCAGCCCCTTCCAGAAGACTGATCAACACAGAGATGGGTCATCTAAAGGTCGTTTTCCCAATTTGCCAAATCTTCCACTCTTGAAGATGATACAGTTCAGAAGTTAGGCAGTTCAGGCTGGGAGAAGGGTGGGTGGGTCGGTGGCAAAGCTGAAGGGTTTCTAAGGGAGGGGATTTGGCCAAGTGAAGATGGGAAGAGCAATAATGGGGAGAAGGGGAAATGAAACATGCTTTAGGGGAAACTGATATGACATCTGGGGCCCAGCTGCGAATGGGTCCCACAGGAGGCTAGGAAGGAAGTCAGATGGTCTGGAGGTGCCCCCAGGCTCCCCGTTCATGGCTGTTAGGTCTGGGCAGGTCTTAGGTCCCTCATTCACAAGACAGGGATCACAACATGCCTCCCTCATAGGGGCACTGAGAGAAGTAAATGAAATTATAGAAGTCAAGCACTTAGAACAGTGCCGGCCAATAAATGTCACTTTCATCATTATTCTCATATATTGAGATGCAATATCGTTTCTAACCCACCTTATGTTTTTATTGTATTTTTAAAATGAAAATTGTACATATTTAAAAAGTACACCATGATGATTTGATATACATACACATATAGCTAAAGGAAATTGTAGTATAAATTATGCAGTGGAGTATTACTCATCCTTAAAAAGGAAAGATATCCTGCCACTTGCCATAACATGGATGGACCTGGAGGACATTATGCCACTGAGACAAACCAGATACAGAAAGAAACAAAACAAAACAAAACATACAGCTCATACTCATTATATATGGAATCTCAGAAAGTCATATCCAACCTAATTTTTGGGATTATGTGAAGAAGCTTAAATACTATTGACTGGATAATGGAATATTTCATTTCTATCTCTTATTATGATTCATATCTTACTGGTCAAAATAAATTTGCTATGGCAACACCACCCTAGTCCCTTATAGTTTTTCTTCCTTTTGCTCTTTCTAAATTTCTGGTGCCGACATTTGCCTGTTACTTTCCACTTCTCATGGATGTGGAATTTAAAATTGTGCCCTTTTAAACTGTAGCATGTAAATTTATGTAACATGTAACATGTTTATGTAAAACATGAAACATCAAAATTATAGCAAATAAAAACAACATGGAATATTTAATAACCTTTTGTAAGAGTCATTAAATTATAAAAATAATATCATCTGTAGTAAATAGGCACCCAATGCACAACAGGTATATCAGCTCTCCGAGCATACAGTGCAGTGAAGCACATGTGTGCTCAGTCGTGTCCGACTCTTTGCGACCCCAAGGACTATAGCCTGCCAGGCTCCTCTGTCCATGGGATTCTCCAGGCAAGAATACTGGAACAGGTTACCATTTCCTTCTCCAAGGGATCTTCCCGATGCAGGGATTGAACCCATGTTTCTTGAGTCTCCTGGATTGCAGATTTTTTACCACTGCAATACCTGAAAAGTCCTCTGTAGTAAAGGATATCAGATTTGGCAGAAATTATTAAAATTTACATGGCTTCCATAGTAGCTCAGCTGGTAAAGAATCTTCCTGCAATTCAGGAGACCTTGGTTCGATTCCTGGGTCGGGAAGATTCCTTGGAGAAAGGATTGGCTACTCATCTCAATATTCTTGGACTTCCCTGGTGGCTCAGATGGTAAAGAATCCACCTGCAATGTGGGAGACCTGGGTTTGACCCCTGAGTTGGGAAGATCCCCTGGAGAAGGGAATGGCTACCCACTCCAGTATTCTGACCTGGAGATTCCATGGACAGAGGAGCCTGATGGAATACTGTCCATGGGGTCATGAAGAGATGGATATGATTGAGCAGCTTTCACTTTTTCAACTTCACTTTCATTAAAATTTACAGATTAACCTTAAATTTCTTTTTTTATGTTATCTTTCAGTTATGGGACCATTATTTTTCAAATGTAACTTATTTAATAACTTCAAGACAAGTGTAAGTTTTTATTTTTCTTACTGCTATTCATTGACTTTCCCCAGCTGTTAGTGGGCACTGAAATGCCTAAAATATGTAAAGGAAAAAAAGAAGTAGAAAAAAAGAGACCCAGAAGTGAATGAGCAAAGAGATCTGAAATAATCAGGAGCTGGATCCAGTATTATATATTATTTTCTATACGTGGACTTTAGAAATACTTAAAACCTGAAGAGGCACCATAAATAAAAATGTATAAATTGAAGTCTGCATTTATTTGATAGCTATTTCAGTTTCCTTTTTTCCTATAAAGAGAATTTCTCTGTTCCCAAGGTCTAACGTTGAGGTGAGTCAGAGGTCATGGTTCCGGGCTACTGGGTACAATAAGAGTCGGGGGTCACAGTCTCTTGTGGATAAGTGGCCAGCAAAGCTACTTCAATATGACAGCAGTTGGCCTCTGGTTACGTGGGGAACTCAGGACCAATTCAGTCAGGCATCAACCAGGGAAAAGCAATTCCTTTCTAACCAAACAGAAACGCACTTATACAAAATGATGCAGAAAGTGGATGGTGGGAGATCTTTCCAATTTGTGATCTGGAGAGAGAAAGACTTCTGTTTCTGTCTGACCTCTGAGGCATTTTTGCAGTAACTTGAAATAGTGTGATGGACAGAGCTGACTCTAGGAATCTTTGAAAAATGCTTTCCCTCTGGCCAAACATGAAAGGAGAATTCATTTTCCATATTCAGAATCTGGATTCCATGACTTTTATATTGAGATGTGTTCAACCAACTGTAAGGACTTCACAGCATGGAGGCGCATGCTTTCTGAAGACATGTAGGAAGGGTGTGGGCCCCCTGGGGCATTAAATGTGCTTCCCCCATGTAGGAACCTAGGGCAGGAGCCTCCCCCTTCTTCTTTTGCCTTAGATCCTTCCCAGCATCATAGTCTTTTCCAGTGAGTTGACTCTGCATCAGGTGGCCAAAGTATTAGAGTTGTAGCTTCAGCATCAGTCCTTCCAATGAATATTCAGTGTTGATTTCCTTTAGGATTGATTGATTTGATCTCCTTGCAGTCCAGGGGACTCTCAAGAGTCCTCTCCAACACCACAGTTCAAAAGTATCAATTCTTAGGCAGTCTTCTTTATGGCCCAACTTTCCCATCCATACATGATTACTGGAAAAACCATAGCTTTGACTAGATGGACCTTTGTCAGCAAAGTAATGTCTCTGCTTTTGAATACACTGTCTAGGTTTCTTATAGTTTTCCTTTCAAGGAGCAAGTATCTTTTAATTTCATGGCTAAAGTCACCATCTGCAGTGATTTTGGAGCCCAGAAAAATATAGCCTGCACTGTTTCCACTTTTCCCCCTTCTATTTGCCATGAAGTGATGGGACTAGATATCATGATCCTAGTTTTTTGAATGTTGAGTTAAGCCAGCCTTCTCACTCTCTGCTTTCAATCTTATCAGATGGCTCTTTAGTTCCTCTTCACTTTCTGCAATAAGGGTGGTGTCATCTGCATACATTAAGTTGTTGATATTTCTCCTGGAAATCTTGATTCCAGCCTATGATTCATCCAGTCCAGCATTTTGCATGATGTGCTCTGCAGAGAAGTTAAATAAGCAGGGTGACAATATACAGCCTTGTCATACGCCTTTCCCAATTTTGAACCAGTCAGTTTTTCCATGTCTGGTTCTAACTGTTGCTTCTGGGCCCATATACAAGTTTCTCAGGAGACAGGTAAAGTGGTCTGGTATTCCCATCTCTTGAAGTATTTTCCACAGTTTGTTGTGATCCACACAGTCAAAGGCTTTAGCATAGTCAATGAAGAAGAAGCAGATGTTTTTCTGAAATTCCCTTGCTTTCTCTATGACCAATGAATGTTGGCAATTTGATCTCTGCTTCCTCTACCTTTTCTAGATCCAGCTTGTACATATGGAAGTCTTTGGTTCATGTACTGTTGAAACCCAGCTTGAAGGATTTTTGAGCAAAATCTTACTAGCATGCAAAATGAGTGCAATTGTATGGTAGTGTGAACATACTTTGGCACTGCCCTTCTTTGGGACTGGAATAAAAATTCCTTTTCCAGTCCTGTGGTCACTGCTGAGTTTTCCAAATTTGCTGACATATTGAGTGCAGCACTTTAACAGCACTATCTTTTAGGATTTCAAATAGCTCAGCTGAAATTCGTCAGCTCCACTAACTTTGCTCATAGTAACGCTTCCTAAGGCCCACTTGACTTCACTTTCCAGGATGTCTGGCTCTAGGTGAGAGACCACACTATCATGGTTATCTGGGTCATTAAGATCCTTTTTGTAGAGTTCTTCTGTGTATTGTTGCCACCTCTTCTTAATCTCTTCTGCTTCTGTTAGGCACTTGCTGTTTCTGTCCTTAACATGCTCATCCTTACACGAAAAGTTCCTTTGATCTCTCCAGTTTTCTTGAAGAGATCTCTGGTCTTTCCCATTCTATTGTTTTCCTCTATTTCTTTGCATTGTTCATTTAAGGAGGCCTTCTTATCTCTCCTTGACTATTCTCTGGACTTATGCATTCAGTTGCATATATCTTTCCCTTTCTCCCTTGCTTTTCACTTCTCTTCTTGTCTCAGATATTTGTTAACCTTCCTCAGATGGCCATTTTGCCTTCTTGTGTTTCTTTTTCTTTGAGATGGCTTTGATTATTGCCTCCTGTACAATGTTAGGAACCTCTGTCCATAGTTCTTCAGATACTCTGTCTACCAGATCTAATCCCTTGACTCTATTCATCACCTTCACTGTATAATCATAAGTTATTAGACTGAGGTTATACCTGAATAGAATAATGGTTTTCTTCCGTTTAATTCTGAATTTTGCAATAAGGAGCTCTAAGTCACAGTCAGCTCCAGGAGTTGTTTTGCTGACTGTATAGTTTCTCCATCTTCAGCTACAAAGAATATAATCAGTCTCATTTCTGTATTGACCATTTGGTGATATCCATGTGTGACATCATGCAAAATGGTGGTCTGGATGAAGCACAAGCTGGAATCAAGATTGCTGGGAGAAATATCAATAACCTCAGAGACACAGATGACATGACCCTTATGGCATAAAGTGAAGAACTAAAGAGCCTCTTGATGAAAGTGAAAGAGGAGAGTGAAAAAGTTGGCTTAAAGCTCAACATTCAAAGAACTAAGATCATGGTATCTGGTCCCATCACTTCATGGCAAATAGATGGGGAAACAATGAGAGACTTCATTTTTGGGGGCTCCAAAATCACTGCAGATGGTGACTGCAGCCATGAAATTAAAAAACGTTTGCTCCTTGGAAGGAAAGCTATGTCCAACCTAGACAGCATATTAAAAAGCAGAGATATTACTTTGCTGACAAAGGTCCATCTAGTCAAAGCTGTGGTTTTTCCAGTGGTCATGTATGGATGTGAGAGTTGGACTATAAAGAATGCTGAGCATTGAAGAATTGATGCTTTCGAACTGTGGTGTTGGAGAAGACTCTTGAGAGTCCCTTGGGCTGCAAGGAGATCCAACCAGTCCATCCTAAAGGAGATCAGTCCTGGGTGTTCATTGGAAGGACTGAAGCTGAAATTCCAATACTTTGGCCACCTGATGCGAAGAACTGACTCACTGGAAAAGACCCTGATGCTGGGAAAGATTGAAGAAAGGAGGAGAAGGGGACAACAGAGGATGAGATGGTTGGATGGAATCACCGACTTGATGGACATGAGTTTGAGCAAGCTCCGGGAGTTGGTGATTGATGGGCATGTTGCAGTCCATGGGGTCAAAAAGAGTTGGACATGACTGAGCGACTGAACTGATCTGTCTCTTGTGCTGTTGGAAAAGGGTGTTTGTTATGAACAGTGTCTTCTCTTGACAAAACTTTGTTAGCCTTTGCCCTGCTTCATTTTGCACTCCAAGGCCAAACTTGCCTGTTACTTCAGGTATGTCTTGACTTCCTACTTTTGCATTCCAATCCCCTAAGATGAAAAGGGCATCTTTTTCTGGTGTTAGTTCTAGAAGGCCTTGTAGGTCTTCAAATAGACTGGTCACCTTCAGCTTCTTTGATATCAGTGGTTGGGGCACAGACTTGGATTACTGATGCCCACTCCTGTCCATTTTAGTTCACTACTTCCTAAGATGTCGACATTTACTCTTGCCATCTCCTATTTGACCACATCCAATTTACCTTGATTCATGGACCTAACATTCCAGGTTCCTATACAATACTGTTCTTTATAGCATCAGACTTTACTTTCATCACCAGACACATCCACGCCTGAGTGTCGTTTCTGCTTTGGCTCAGCCACTTCATTCTCTATTAGTAACTATAGTTATTAGTTATTAATATTACTAATAGCATTAGTAATTAGTAATTAGAGCTATTAGTAACTGCCCTCTGCTCTTCTCTAGTAGTGTATTGGATACCTTCTGACTTGGGACCCTCATCTTCAGGTGTCCTATCTTTTTGCATTTTCATACGGTTTATGGTATTCTCGCTGTAAGAATGCTGGAGTGGTTTTCCGTTCCCTCCTTCACTGGACCATATGTTGTCAGAACTCTTCACTATGACCCGTCTGTCTTGAGTGGCCCTGCATGGCAAGACTGATACCTTGACTTGTGGAAGCCCTTTGCAGTGACAAAGCTGTGATCCATGAAGGGGTCTATTTGTAGTAGGAGCTATCAAACCTCATTAGACAATTCACATCCACACAGGGTGAAGACTAGCACGAGCACCAAGATAAGGGGGACTTTGGGCTAAGGAGAAGGGTTTGGTGCCACCAGCTGGACCCATGTGGGGACAGAACTAACGGAGGGTCACCAGTATCCCACCATGGGGAAGGAAAGAGGCAGCGTCTGAAAGGAGGACCCGATTTTTAAATAGAAAATCCTCTTCTGCTTTCTTATCACAAAAGCTATACATGCTCATTGTAGAAATAATAGATAATACAGATGAACCAAATAATACATATGAACAAACATAATACAACTATGATGTCACCACTTGGAGGTAACTGTTCATTCACTGTTGTAAATCTCTCCAGAGCTTTTACTATAAACACATGAATTTACACACACACACACACACACACACACAGAGCCAAAATGGAATAATTTATTTTTTTGTGATCCTTTTTCTATTTCAATAATTTTAGAATTATAGCATCTTTTCTAATGTCTTTTACTTCATTATATTGTATGTATGCTACTTCACTTCTAGGATATGGAATTTCTAGAAATGGAATTAGAAATGGAATTGCAGGGTGGGAGGCGTCTGAGCTCAGGCAGATGTAAAGTCTTTGGTATCTTTTGCCAACTTGCCTTCCAGAAACGTGTGTCCATTTATATTCAGCAAGTCTATTTTGAGTGCTCCATAAGCCTTGTTACTGGTAACTCTTGACTCAGCTGTTCATGGACTTTCAGCCAGATTCCTAGGGAGGAGAGTGTGGAAACCAGAGGATGCCAAAAAGCTGTGCCATCAGTGACTCTGGGTACTTGGGGGCTTGGTGTGGGGTGTACAGTCGGAAAGGTCCGCTGGAGGAGGGCATGGCAACCCACTCCAGTATTCTTGCCTGGAGAATCCCATGGACAGAGGAGCCCGGTGGGGAGGGGGGTCACAAAATGTTGCACGTGACTGAAGCAACTTAGCACGCAGGCACAGTGCTGGGGAGAGAGCCCTTCCCATCTCAGCACAGTGGCAGGCGGAGGGGAGCCTGGGCAGGTGGGAGAGGGGTCAAGCGTGCAGTGCAGAAGGGAGCTGCAGGCTCCATCAGGAGCGGCTACATCGGGTCAGCTTCTGGCACTGCTTGGAGGGTATCCAAAGGTGTGCAGAGTGGGAGGTGTGTGCAAGGGACTCTGGGGGATCCCCTGAGAGTGGAGGGAGGGTGGCCCCAGGAGCTCCGAATGGGCTGGGAGGGGCCTGGGACCGAGGGAACCTGAGGTCACTGTGATCATGACCCGGGTTGTTAATTTTATCCCACAGGGTCTCAGGGCCTGGGAAAATTCAGGTTCTGCCTGGGGGCTGATGGCCTTTGCAAGCTTTTATGCATTAATGGAAGATGCGATTTGATTTTGGTCCTTTGCCCAAGATAAGAGATCCCAGGGGGCATTCTTAAAAGGAAAGCCAAAATGAAAAAGAAGGTTTTATTTCATAAACGTGGAAATTGTATGGCACTCAGTAAAATGTGTTGGCAAAGGAAGCTTCTGCCACTTAATATAGTAAATAAAATAGGCTAATTTCTTTTGGGAGAAGAACTCAAATTCCAGTTATCATCAGATAAGAACTTTCAACAAGACGCTCTCTAAGGAAGATGAGCAGTTGGCCCCTGATATAGGGAAAAACAGTGCTCAGTAGAAAAGGACCAGCACCTCCACTGGGTTCAGAAAGACTCTGGCCCTTCTTCTTGCATCTCAGGGGTCCTGAGCCCCTGGCCATCTTGGTGAGCTTGCAGGTTGGATACAATCTGTGCATCAGCGGTGCGGTCCTGTTGACCTGACCCCAACCTACCTGAGAAGTAATGCTATGCTGCAGATACCAGGGAAGAATGAACACCACTGTCTCTGATTTCCTTGCAATGTAGATCCAGTTGCCAAACCTGCCTGCAAAAGTCGACTTGGGTGCACTTGCCCAAGGCAAACAATAAACTTCCAAGGAAACAAGAAACAAGCACACGGTTCTTCCCCTGGGGTTGCTTCCTGCCTTCTCTCCAAGTGGCACCAGGCAGAATCTGCCTCTTGGTCCTTGCGTTCGTGTAATACATGGTTATGGAGAGACCGGGGTAACTCACCGTCCACCACCGGCTTGGGCTGCGAGCTCTTCAGGCGCAGGGAGGGCCGGAAGCGCGTGCGGTCGTTGAAGCTGAGCTTCTGGCTGCGGGCGACAGGGGCGGCATTAGTGCATTTCAGGCAGCGCCGCCCACCCACCTGCGTCACTGCGCTGATGTGACTATACACACGATTGACAGATCGATCACAAATTGCATTACACGAAATGTTTCTAGCAAGTAGGGGCACAGTGATACATTTCCCCTTATTGAAAATTTGAGCTGTCTTTAATCTCTCTGCATTCATCTCCAGTCCATCTCATCCCATGAAACCCTTCCTGGATTCAGCAAAAGCCTGAGATATAGTACAACGGTGTGTGCACCATGACACTGGAAAGACCCTAGAACTGGTTTGGTGTTCGCCTTAGAGACAAATTTTAGCTTTAGCCTTAACTTTTGAAACTTAAGAAAAAGCTATTTTTTTTTAAATTTGGGATCATATCTCTTTGTAATTTCTAAAATATTTCTACAGGAAAACAGAGGTGACAGTTACACATGAACACAGAGTCTGCATGCATTTTATATTCCAGGCAAGATTATGACTTCCAGATCCATGCAGTCTCAGAGCAGCTGGCAGTACTGCAGACAATATTAGACATACAACACTTAACACCACATTTATTCTTGCTAGACAAAAACCACACAAGGTAGACCAGCTTCAGCTTATAACGAACCGGATGATGGATTAACAGAATGAGATGTCGTGTTCACCAACACAGACTCCTGCTATTAAACAGGTTATTGATTTGCTGTGGCAGCTCCTGGTGAATTATATTTGTTCACATTCAGTTCTCAGATGCCAGCTTGGCCTAAACTGTGGTTGGTTGATAAAGGAAGTGCTAACAAGGCAGTCTCCAGTCCTTCCTCAGTGTGAGTGGGGTGTGAGGTGCCAGGAGGGCAGGCTGGAATCAGAGGCCTGGGTTTGGAGGCCTCTCTTCTAACTTGAAGATAAAAATAGCAATGTACGTGAGGGACTCTTATGGGGATCAGATGAACTGTACAAAGTTTTGTGTTCTTATTCATTTATAAAGTACCATGTTATTCATTAGAAAGTGAGACTGTGGGGAGAAGAATATTGGGATATTGGGACTGATATATACACACTACTATATGTAAAACAGATAACTAATAAGGACCTGCTATACTCAACACTCTGTAATGGTCTATGTGGGAAAAGAATCTAAAAAAGAGTGGATACATATATAACTGATTAGCTTTCCTGCACAGCAGAAACTAACAAATGTTTTAAATCAACCCTACTCCAAAAATTAAAAAAAAAAAATAGAGTGCATTTATATTTTTATGGGGAAAAAAAAGTGATTCCCTTATGGAGCGAGAGGCCCAGGGCTCTCAGGCCTGAAGCAGTGGACTGGATGAATCTGAGGCCCACTGTCCAGATGCAGCCTTTGTGGGACATGGAGACAGCATTCTTATGGACAGGGATTCTCTGAGACCACGTGGAGCAGGTTCTTTTGCATTTTCTGCCTTGTCCACTGTTCCCAGCGGCAGCTTGCCAACAGCAAATGTGTTTAGCGGGTCTATGTCTTGTAGGTAACAAGCACAGTAACTTTGATTTTTCCATGCCTAGCTGCTTAACAAATGGTGTTCTAAGAAGACACCATGTTTTCTGTGTGCTTATGTGAAAACACATCGAGCAATGGATTACAGCGGTCAGCAGGTCCTGGTCAGGACACACATGCTGGCTCTGCGGGTGACAGCTCTGTGCGAAGGGCAGACGCAGGCAGGATTGCTGGGGCGCATGCAGAGGGCAGGCAGGGCAGACGGTTCAGGGCTCATTAACACAGTCCCATCAGGCAGGGCTTTCTCCGCAGTTGACAAACGTGTGATCAAATGATGGATTCATTCAACAACAATAACATATAAAACTGCATCTTCTTATGCCCAGGCTACATTCTCCATGTCATCCAAAGCTCACAATGTTTAAACAACTCCTCAAAGGGATGGTGCTCAACGTGACCACTCTTTTCAAGCTTTGTTTTTTTTTAATAGTAGAAACTACAAACCTCTTTTCAGTTTTGGCCATCTGTTCCGTTACTTAAATGTACAATGATCTGGTTCAGGAACGCACCTATGCACCTCTATTTAGATTAATGAATGGCTTGTCAACAGAGCTGCCGTTACAAGTGGTCTCATTATACTTTAATCCATTACCTTTTCTGGAACTAACAGATGTTAATTACTATAGAAGGTTGGGTTTAGTTAATAGCAAATTATTACTCAGACTTTCAAGATATCTCTCTTTCCTTTGCCAACTGAATGAATAGGAAACTGATAAAAGCATTATAAAACCATCAATATGAAATTTAGTTTTTTAAAAATTTCAATTGCTAAAAATGTTTAAAAAATCTAAAATAGGTATCAGCATTAAATCTACCAATGTTATTTATAATAACAAAAACTTCAAAAAATACTCTTATAAAATATTTAAAAATTGTCCCTACAAAACATTTAATATTGTCTTTAAGAATTAATGGGAAATGGAAATAATATTATTTTCTGAATCTCAGTACTACTTAAGGCATGAGAGTTGATATAAATGAGTTCTGGGTACCCTTTCCCCTTTTGTCCTTCTAAAGTATGTGAATATTTGCGACATCTAATGTTAAAATATTCTCTAGAATTATTTTGAAGTGAATGCAACACATTAAACACTAAATTAGAAAAAAAAAGATGTAATGTTTTCACTCTTTCTTCTGACATAATATGTCTTCTGACATAGTATGACTGTTAAGAATAATATCCTAATCCAGAACATTTTAGCCAAGCAATATTTTCTTTTCCAAGTCAAAGATCTGTCCTTGTGTTTTCCTACAAAAAGTTTACTTTTATTAATTTTTGTAGTTCATTTCCCATTTGCAAATCAGCAGAGCACCTTGATGAACTTACTATTAAATGGGTTAGGTGACTGCTATTGAAAACACACATTGATGAAAAAAGACTCTTCCCTAGTCTAGTGACGTTTTCATTATTTTTCAGCTTTTTTTGCGATATCTATGAACGTGATTTTTGAGAAAGGCTTATGAGACAGTGTTCTTTTAGGAAGGTTGCCAAAGCCTATCCCCAAGAAACAACAAGGAGGCCTCTCTTTGGAGAAAGTAACCAAAAGGTGACTGTGGTCATGGATGGTGTGCAGCCCCTGGTCCCTGGCCACAGGCTATCTTAAGGCAGAAGGCATGTCTGCCCTGCAAGGGTTCTTGTGCTCGTGTTCCTCAAGTGGCCAGCGTGCAATCGGCTCCTGGGGGATCCCTGCCAGGGACTGGGTGGCATCACAGCATCCCCAAGGTAATCCTCTTGGACTCAGAATGTTGTAGCTACCATTACGCTTAATAAGGGCTTCCGCCCTTCACAGGATAAGCCTCCTGCAAATTCTCGCCCCTGGCACAATTCGGCAGCGCAGCGCAGCCAGCACAACCCGGTATGTGCACCGCTCAGCATCGTCCACCGCCAGGAGGGGCCGCTCGGACCTGCCTGCTCATCCCCAGGGCGCAGGGGGTCCAAGCAGGCAGCAGGCAGCGGGAGGAATACAAGTGGGCTGGAAACCTCATTCAGTTGTCCTCAGAAGAGTGAGTCTGAGCAGGGCTCAGTGGAGGGCGGGGTGACCTGGTCATGCACCTGAGGTTAGTTGGCATTCTCAGATCGCATGGCAGCAGCCGGGATGCTGGTACCTCTGCCTCCGTGAGGTGTGTATTCTGAAGAGCTTCTGCTTATGACTACAGACCTGACTAGGAGTGAGGGGGAGACAGCAGCTCGTTACTAGGCGGTCGCAACCAGCAAAGGGCCCAGGGGCTTTGGTCTTGAAAAACAAAGCCATTTGGCTTCCTCGTTGTTCATATGAAAGTACACGGACTATTTAAACACCAAGGACAAACTGTAAATTAATTGTGCTGCTCAAAATGGATGCCATGTTCTTAATGGTTAAGTAGAAATAACTAGATTTTGAAACAGGCATTCCAAAGGATGGTAGTCTATGTCTTAGCATCTGCTGCATACAAAAATAAGAATATAAATATTTTAGGGTATAGCAACCCTTGTAATAAGTAGCAGTGCAACACAGTATAAATGATTGAGGAATAAAATATTCTAGAACTATTAGAATCTTTATAGGAATCAATGAAGTAGATAACATTAATTGCTTTGCAATAGGGGCTTCCCTGATAGCTCAGCTGGTAAAGAATCCACCTTGAAATAAAAACGTTCTTGGTTTGTATGAAACCTGAAGGTGTAAATATAAGGAATCAATTGTCAGATAGAACATGTTCGAAAAGATAAAAGAAAATATTCTAGGTTGCTAGTTTGTTAGAAAAAGAGCATTTTTCTTATATTAACTCTTACAATGTGCTTTTCAAAGACTAAATCCTTTCCTTCGGTCAATAAATGCGAACAGAAAAAGAGACTATTTTGAAAAAAAAAAACTGTTTTAGCAACAACCTAACCTTTTGCCAATAAGGACACAAGTTGACTGTGCCGAAAAAAGAAGTCTCATTTCCCTGAGTTTAGTTTAACAGCCCATGCAGATCATTCACTGCACACAAAAGAAAGACATTTAAATAATGGAAAATAAATGCAGAAGAAATAGAAGTGCACGGTGTTTCCATCAGTGTTGTTGCGGTCTCTCCTGAGAGTCACACTTCTCAGAACCTAATAAAGACAACCGTGCAGGAACGGGCAAAGCACCCCATGGACCAGAGCACAGGATGTAACGTAATAAGAATCTCGCTTATGCTTTGACTTTTAAGACACGCATCTTTATAACTGTCTCAAAAGCACCTGTTAAAGCAACTTCAGAGAGTCTACTAAGAAGTCTGGCAGGGCTTTCTTAATGCCTCATGAACTGCATAAAGGCGGTTTAACTACAAAGCAGGCATACAGTCGCCGAGTGTTGCTTAAGCAGACAGGGTTAGCAGAGGCAGGGAGATATACGGATAATCCCCAAGCCTCTGATGTATGATCTGTCCTTGGAGCAATAAAACCTTAACAGGTAGGAAGAAGTAAGAGCTTTCTCGTACCATGCTGGTAGCTAACTCACAGCCTAGTCAGCTTGGTGGAGGCGGCAGAGAGGAAGGTGAGGATGCTGGATGCGTTTACAGGGACATTCTGTCCT